AGAGAGGGGAAGGGAGGGAGAAGGAGGAGAGAAACATTGATGTGAGAAATACGAATCGGTTGCCTCTCACACATGCCCAGACTGAGGAGCTTGCCCACAACCCAGGCATGAGCCCTGACCCGTAATTGAACCCGCAGTATTTTGTTTTGTGGGATAATGCCCAACCGAGCTACACTGGTCAGGGCAATTGTATCCTTTTTAGGGGAGAAAGTAATGTCTGGTCCCTGTTACTCCATCATGAAAGTGACCATTAGTTTTGGCCTTTATCCTAAAAACAACAGACTGCATTGAAGGGTTTCCAGTGGGTAGTCACATGATAAGTTGTTTGAAATTACTGACTGCTGTGTGGAGAATGGACAGAAGGCAGGCAAGATGAGAAAGTGATAGACAGTAATTCATTGGTTACTGTATAGCGGTCCTGGCAACTGATGGTGTTTTGGACCAAGAAAATGACTGGAAGACAGAAATGGGAAAAGGTAAGACTTATTTAGGAGCTGACAGTGTATTGTTGCCTTTGTTTAGTTCACAAAATATGACACAGTGGCAAGTCTTTAACCCATATGTGAAGGGAGTTTCATTATGAACCTTTGAAAACCTTACAGCAGGAGAGCTGTGTAAATAAATTGTATAGAGCAGAGAGATCTTTTAAAGCCAATCCATGATGACTATGCGCAGAGCTAGCTTTAAGCTTTTTTCTATGCCATCGTTGATACCTCAGTGGTTATCATGGACTGAATGTTTCTGTCCCACAAAATTCATTTTTGAAACCCTAACCTTCAATGTGGTGGTATTTGGAGGAGTCTTCGGGAATTACGGTTAAATAAGGTCATGGGGAGGGATTCATGTGGGGAATAGTGACCTTATAAGAGGCACCAGAGAGCTTGCTCTCGCTGCCACTTGAGGACACAGCATGAAATAGCCCATCCGCAAACCAGGAGGAGCTCTCTCCAACTGACTGCTGGATCTTGATCTGGGAATTCTAGCCTCCAGATCTGTGAGAAAATAATTTTCTGCACTCTCCTAGTCTATTACATTTTGTTATAACAGCTAATATAGTGGTGCTCACCTACCAGTCATAGTGATGGCTTTTCACCTCTCATTTGAATGGCAGTGTTTGTTCATGAGCAATATGGACATACTTTAAAAAAAGCAAGGTTTTCCTTTGCAGTGCTTTGTGAATGGTGCTTTAATGTATAATCTTTTTGATAATGAATTATTTGTAAACTCATGTGATGTTACTGCATATGCATTAGCATTGGCTGTGAAAAGCCCTAACTTCCTGATTTCTACTGAAGTCAAATAACATTATCTTATAATAATAAACTCAGTGGAGGACTGGCATTTAAAAGACTTGGTACTGACTGGCCCATTCGCAGTTTTTAAGTCATTAAGACTGTATGCAAACAAAGCTAATTTAAGAAATTCATTCTGAAGCCAGGTTTGCTCTGTTAGGCTGTTGCGTTTTGAATTCTCTTGCTTCATTGCTTAAAGACACCTGCTCTCTGATAATAGCCCGTTTGCTTCTATAGATTAAATGGAAATTGTAAATACAAGAGAATAGACTGGCCTACTGAAAAGCACAGTGAGAACTCAGGGAGTGACACGTGAAAAAAAGGTACTGTGTATTTTCTTTTGAAGACAGAAAAGCAAGGATGGATCACTAACAGTTTGGCATTTTGAACTACCTAGAGGCCACCTGGAAAACACATTTACTCCAAATAAACTCTTATCTGTATACCCACCCATCTATCCAACACATTCCCATTAAGTGCCTGTTGTGGAAGACAGGCCGTTGGAGATAGAAGACTAATCGAATACACACCTTAAGTACTCCATAATTAACTGTTGATATCAGACATGTTTCTAATTAATATTACACTAGTCACAAGACGAACTACACAATGTAAAATAGTGCTTAATTATTTTGAGAGTCTTGCAAGTTCATTAAAGATAGTAAATAATGTGGTAAGGCCTTTCCATTCTTACTATTCTGCTGTATCTCTTTTGGTGCTGACAAACGGAACCACTTTGCATTTCTCCTAACATTCCAGTCTATCAAGAACATTACTAGTTTAAGACTTTGCCTCATTTTGAGGATAAGAAACATCCAGGTTGTTTCACATGACATGCCTGAGAATAAAACTAGTTTAGTGGGAGAACAAAAGCAGAAACCATTTCGTGAATACCAACTAAATATTATGTAACCTTCTTCATTCAGATGTTTAAAATCCCTGCCAGCCTAAGGCTCGGATTAGTCATTGCTGCATCCACGAAACCTTCCCTGACTTCCCCAAGTAAGTGAACAAGTTATTTTTCTCACAATGAGCGCATCTAACCAGAAATAGTCCTTTACTTATACCAGGACTTTCTTCCATAATTATTCTATCTAGAGAGTCTCAGACCCAAGACAGAAATGGGAAATCCTGGTCCCTGGGCCCTCTCTGCATGAGGACAAAATGTCAAATATGGCCCCTACATTTCACTTTTTCATAAAATACCAGAAATTTTCATATTACGCAAACTCTGGGTATTGATATTTCCTCCTGGTGGTGTAATTACCGTTCCTCACTGTTTATGAATGCTTTTCTGGCGAAAACCTAGTGAATACTTTACTGTTTTACCTTAATGCTCCCTGTAACTTTCCTTTCCTATATCCAGTTATTCATCAAATATTTAATGAGACCAGATACTGCACTAGATACTGGGAATGCAATAGTGGGCAAAACACACATGGGTCATATCATCGGCAGCTGATAGGACAGAGCATTAGAGAGCACCAGTCAAGCAAGCACAACAAAACATGGTAAATGTTCCATTAGAGGAATCATGGGGCACCTGTTTGATCAAGAGGGTTAAAATCTAATCTGGTTAATAGAAGTGATGTTAAGGTGAAATCTGAAGAATTAAGAGATGAAAGAATAGTTCAGGTGAGGGGATATGAAGGACTGGAGGCAAGAAAAAGCATACACATTTAAGGAACTTAAGTGCATTAAGACTGGGTCACATAGAGGAGGAAGGGCAGTAGGAAGGGACGGACAGTAGCATAAAGGGCTTTGTAAACTATTATAGGCTTTGGGTTAAAGTCTATGAAAAGCCATGGAATGGTTGTGGAGGCGGAAGGACAGGAAGAAAAGTAATTTTGGCTACAATTTAAGAGAAACATTTCTATCACATCCATTATTTTATATTGTCTTAAATGATTTTAAATACTGTAAGCAGCTAAATTAAAATATATTTGATTTGGGTATGAACAATAAATTCTGCATGTATCACAGGTAAATATATGTAAAACTTGTTATTTTTGCAAAGTACTTTCTTGACTCCTGATTGACATCACAAAATAGATAAGGTTTAACAACAGACTAATAGGTAATTGTATCTTCCTTTTATTTGAAACCAGTTAGCTCTAAATTATTCATTCTAACTGAGGAACAGATATATACATCACCTACAATGATCAATAATCCAGATGGTTTGTTTCACTTTAGAATATACTTTTTAATTTTTATTTAAAGATGGGTATCTCTGAAATCTAGGAATTTAAACTTAAAAGCCACACTACAGAAAACGGCAAATACATTACACACAAGCTTGTGACCCATCCCATATTGGGAACTGAAAGCATGTGTTGGGCTGATGTCAAGGCCTAGTAGGGAGCAGTTTGTAACTTTTTAGTTTCTGTATGTGACATTAGAAAAACCCCAACAATCATGTGTATCTTTATTTTTCTGCTAATAAAAACATTTCCACATGGAAAACAAAGAGTAGCAGTATCCCCTTTCATATCTTCCTTGAGAAGAGTCATGTTAAATAACTGAGTTTAGAGTTTCTCTGAGATACAAAGTATTTTTAAAAATACTAATAAGAATCATATGACATTTACAAGCAGTGTGGTATTAAGTTCTATCATTTAGGTTTGCATATGGATAATATGAATAATGACTATATTCTATTTTGTGGAAAATACTAAAATGAATGGCAATTTCAGCAACCAAATGGAGAACAAAACTGGAATGTTACAGAATTTTAAAATGTTTTTTGATATAGGTAATTGATTACAATAAATCTTTAGTTTTGACCTGTGTAAACTAAAACAAAGAATAAGTGTTTTACAACCAAAACTAAAACATTACAAATATGCTGATATTTTTTGAAATAGGAGGAACTCCTTTTTACCTTTTTATATAGATAATAAAAATATCTTGACAGTAGCAATTACTTTAGCTTTGCTTTATTTTCAAATATAAAATTAGAAAGGCAAGTTAATGGTTTTATACATCTTTATAGGTAAAAAAGGGCTGCGGTTTTTTATTTTTTTAATTTTTAAAAAGAATTCTTTTATTTATTTTTAGAGAGGGGAAAGGGAGAGGGAAACATCAATGTGTGGTTGCCTCTCGTGCCCCCTACTGGGGACCTGGCCCACAACCCAGGCATGTGCCCTGACTAGGAAAACCAGTGACCCTTTGGTTCACAGGCTGGCATTCAATCCACTGAGCCACACCAGCGAGGGCTGTTTTTTTAAAAAAAGATTTTATTTATTTTCAGAGATTGGCGAATGGAGGGAGAAAGAGAGGAAGAGAAAGACAGATGTGTAAGAGAAATATCAGTTGATGGGGACATAGCCTGCAACCCAGGAGTGTACCCTGACTGGGAATCAAATGAGCGATCTTTCGCTTTGTGGGACAATGCCCAATAGAGCCATGTTGGCCAGGGTGTAAAAAGTTTTATATTAACACAAACTCAAATATTTTCTGATATTGTCAGCTGAGGGTAGTATATAATTCATCAATATTGACTTAGTTTGAGAAAATCATGGGTGGGTCCTATACCATATATACCTAATGACTTTAAGAGTCTACAGCATGATGTGTTGTACGGGAAATCTGTAACATGATGATGCCTTTGTGTAATACCTGTTTTCAATTCTTAAAAAATAGACCAAACCCCAAAACATTCTGGTTTTGTTGTTTAAAAATTGTTTTCATTTTAATGATCTGAGTTAGTAACAAACAAATATACAAAATTGTCTTTCACATTTCCATACATTGTATTATGGACCACTTAAAACTCTGGACTACAAATGCAGGTTTCTTTGTATCCTTAACTTCAATTATTATCACTTATAAATAAAGGTGATTTGCGAAGACATGCACTTGTGAACACAGATGCCAAAAGTTGCACATGTAAGTAGGTTAATGCACAACCAATAGTGTACATTGTCCATTTGTGCAGCTCATGTGTCAAGTGCAATTGACACAGAAGCAGTTATCCTGGGATATTTCACTCTATTTAAAAAGCATTTTTAAGAAACAGGTGGAACTACAGTTTAAAACAAAAATTTTATTCTACAAATACAATAAAATTCACAACTTGTACATTTGAAGAAACTTTTTGGGACCCAAAGCTCATTCAATAACCCTGCTGCTATATTGGTTTTATGAGTCTACCTCCAAAGTCATAGTTGGAAAATAGCTGCTCTAATGAAAATAAATATGTACAGTAAAAGGAAAGTGAGACTTAAAAAAAATGAGGAAAGCTTTGAAAACAGTAATAATGTATGACTCATCTATAATTTTCATTTTTAAATTTTAGAAACTGGAAGGTAACCTGAACATTTTCTAAGCCATTTTAAATGTAAGATTTTTCCATCTTACTAATGTTTTCTAGGCCACTTCTCCCACCACTAATATGAACTATAAATAAACACCAATATATCATTTTTTTATATTAAATTATTCCCAGGTATCTGCAGGTAGAAAAATTTAATCGTTCTTAGAAATGTTTTTCTGGGTTGTAGCAACATGTACTTTACCCTCTTTAACTCAATCTACAACTTAAGGTTATTTCTATGTAAATTTCGAACTCCCTGGCAAGGACTGTGAATGCTAACCAGCTACATATTTATTCAACTTCATAAAGGATGGGCTTACGTATGGTTGTCATCGTAACTGTCCTACTTTCCCCTGAAGTCAGAATTTGATGTCCTTGCCTATTCTATATGGATAAAATGAGAGAAGATGGTAAAAAACAATGGGGTCTCCCTCAGGGAGTATTACTGACTTGGCCTCTGATATTATGAAAACACTTGTTTTATTATAGTGAATACAACTGCAAACAGTTTGAGGACACCTGCAGTTGAAAGGAAAACAAGTAATTTTTCTACAGGTAACTATCTCTGCTTTCCATGGGCTTTATGAAGAAAATGTGGCTAGTGATTTCAAATATGCACTTCAAGTTACCTAAATGCAAGATAGCTTTTAAAAATATGTAAACCATTAGTGATTCAGGCAAGTAAGCCGGGAAGTAATGTAAAGACGTATACTTACAACACTAATGTGAGATGTAGTTATCTACTCTGCACTTTGGAAATGAAAGAAAACCAATTTTGTCCAGAGTCAATACCAGAAAGAGATATGGCTGCTTCCTACTCTTCTTCTACACTTAGCAAAATTAATTTTATGATGCTTTCACTGCTGATAGTCTCTTATTTGAGTTAGCAGAATTAATCTAATAGGTTACTTTTGTTTTCAAAATAAGCTGCCTAAACAGGTTTAAAAAAAAAATTTCAGGAATGAAACATTTAACCCTTGAGACAAACTTTGATTACTGAGTATCCTGTCTAATGGCAGGTCCAAAGATTCTTGAATTAAAGATTATTGCTTATGAAAAGATAACCATCATAAATAAATATGTAAGCTTAACTCAAATATTCATGTTTCACTGAATGCTACAATGTTTTAATTCTCAAATCAAATCATATGTCACCTTTAATTCTTTGCCAGTTTAGTGAGGTTTTTAATTGTAAGAAGTTGGCCTGTTAACTCAAAATTAAGACAATAGCAACAGCCAGGTAAGCAGGTCTTATTTGGGCACTAAGCAGTAACACTGCTTTCTTGATAGGACTTAAGGCACTAAATGGTGATAAAACAAACAAAAGCATGGTAATTAACAGCTTCTTTAGAATCCTAAAAAAGGAGATCATTTAGAAGGACACTAGTAAATCTTTTTCTCAAACAAATAAGGCATCCTGTTGGCAAACACAAATAAAACACAAGGTCATGTTGAACGTAAAACATTCACTGTCTCGGCTAAAGTACTTGACACACTAGCTAGCACACTAAAGGAAGCTATGATAGCATGTATAAAGGTTGGAAAGGCACCAAAAGGAGAGCTCTACCACTTCCAGTTCTAAAAGTCAGGTAAGCTGTGTTGAACACTGCATGTAGTCTAATTATAAATTTTATTCTTTAAAATGTATAGTGGTTAGATTTTTGTTTCAACAAATCAGTTAATCAAGTGCTAGTTTAATAAGAAATTTATTTTCATGAATCAGAAATTTACAGCAGTGTCTAACACAACCCCATTATAAAGCTAAACTAATTCTAGTACTGAATGCATATTCTGGATAACACTGAAGCAAATCTGTATAAACAAAAACGGTTACCTCAAGATAGAACTCACAATAGAAATTCAATATATAACTAAATAAGATTTACTGAAAATAATGAAAAGTGTAGTACAGATACATCAAACATAATTGTAACCACATTTTTCTTGTGAAAAATACAACTATTAGTGAAATAAAATGTACAATTGAAAATTTTTCCAAAGGAAAAACAGTATAAAGGAAAATACTTTTTTTTCAGATAGGGAAAATAGTATGTCATTGTTTTTTTTTCATCACAATATAATTTGACACAAAAAGCAGTTATAGAATTGCACCAATTCCATATCCAGTTTCCTGAACATGTTAAGAGTAAAAGGAGTTCGTAAAGCAGAATGCAGTTTCTGAATTTTATATTTTAAATTGAAGATACTCTCATACAGAATGTCACAGCACACCAGATCTGTTTACATAATGTACAATACTTTCCATTTTGTGGCCAGACATGAAAACAAACATGTGATTTCTGCCACCTTTCTTTCATTCTGGTGTTTAGTCAGAGTCAGGAAAAAAAATAATCAAGCTACTTAAGTGTTATCTCTCTAGTGATAAAGAAAAATTATATTTAGTGCATGCTTCATCATTTGTCAAAAAACATTTTTCAAAATAAAACTCAGTTACCCAATGGTTTACAAAATAGAAACATCATTCATTAGGATAAAAATGCGGCAGGACGTAGGTCCACTTCCGAAGGACGGACTCCCCTGGCAGCACCACTGTCCTTGAGCAGAGGTCATGACGCAGGCACGTCCCAGAGGCAAAGCAGGTGTGCCTGCAGGACACCGCTGCTTGGTATTTGATTATCTGAGGCCCTAGACCCTCCACCATTTCATTAGTGCTATAAAATAGACGGAATTTTTGTGGAAATGTTAGGAACATTTCTGCTGTACATGATTTAGAAGTTCTCCAAACTTTTCAAATAGGTCTTCTACCCATTTTACATTTTTCATACAAAGTTGAACAATTTCTTCCTGTCCTAAATCTTCATTTTTTTTCTGCACAGAGGAGATCTAAAATAGAGAGAATGGCCACATTAGCTTATACTTATCACTTTATAAGCTCTTCATAAGGGCTTGCTATTTCTGTTCCTGAATGAAAAGAGGAACTGTAAGTAGTGCTGATCTTAAAAAAAAAAAAAAAATCCATCCATGGAGAATAATTCTTTCATATAAAACTGGATGAAGTCTAATTCTATCATCTTTTGGCCCCATGGAGGCAGGGAAGAAGGCTAGGAAAAATGGTTCAAACTTTCTCAATTCCTTTCAATTATGTTAAAAGCAGAATGACAAAAATTAGGGTCAATTACTTCATTTCAAAGCATTGTAGAAACAGTCAACATATTTTGCATGACCACCTTTGCTTTCTTTGCTAAACAGACGTTAGATTTATGAACATCTTCCAATAACAGACCATTATCAAATACATCAGGTATATCTTTGAGGAAACCTAACCCTTCTTAATAAAAAAAAATGATAGTGCTGGTCAAAAAAAGGTAGTACTGCCTACAACCATTTAAATACCACAAAGTGGTATTACTGTCATACATAATTTCTGAGCAAATTCAATTATGATACTCCTGTAAAAGCTACAATTAAATTTTAACTATCATTTCTTCAGGTCAAGGCACAGAAACCCCATTTCTCTCTAACTAAGTGGGAAAGGGCCAATTTAGTGATAAGGAAGACAGTGATATACCAGCAGTGACTGAAGTGAATGAAAATAGGATCATGATACGTTATGAGAGAAGAAAATACAATTAAGTTCCATTTATTATGGCAATGTAAAGCAAGCACTAACAACTTAAAAATATTACCACTTATAGCTCATGCGTGAGGTGCTGAGCCTTAGATTAATCTGAGCACAATAAATAACAGGCTGAGAACAACCTTCTAGTCATTATTTATCGGAGAATACAGACACGTACATTTTTGTTTATAGTTGAAAATAAATTTATTTTATTCATTTTAGAGAGAGGGGATGGGAGAGAGGAAGGGGGGAAGAGAGACAGAATGAGAGTGAGAGAGAGAGAGAGAGAGAAACAATTTGTTGTTCCACTTATTTGTGCATTCATTGGTTGATTTGTGTATGTTGCCCTGACTGAGGATAGAATTGGGGTATCAGGATGACACTCTAACCAACCAAGCTACCCAGCCAGGGCAACACCTAACATTTTTAAACAATTCTCTTTAACACATTAAAAAAATACTATAGCTACAGTCTCCTTAAAGTTTGGAAAAACATACATTTGTTTTAAAAAATAAATGAAAAAATAATTACCTCATCTTTACATATCAGGTAAACATGGTACTTATAATGATGGAGTGAATGATACAAAGAATATAACTGTATTTTCTCTGGATCAACAGCAAACTCCTATAACAAGAAAACAGTTTATAGGTATATTTATTTCATGGAGCATCTTAGCTAAAATACTTTTATGAAAATACTACACCAAAGTCTCAGTGGAAATCTTAAAGGTGACATGCATGGCCAGATATTAGCTTGTATTAATAAGCAATTACTTAAAAGACGCCTATTTAAAATAAGAACTTAACTTGCATTTTAAAATCTTTACTTTTTCCTAAATATGAATATATACTATTTCAAAACATTTAACCATTATAGAAAAGTTTCAACAGTACACATATAAGATGACTTATAAAAGAATCCTATAATCTCTTGGTTCAGAGATAAACAAGGTTAACAGAATGTTACATATTTTTCCATGTTTTCCCCATGTATAACATATATTAACTCTAATTTTGTAATGGAAAGGTATCATACCAGACTATATTTTTATAACTTTTTTTACCTAACTAAAACTTGAATATCTTTCTATTTATTATATACACCACATGCCAATAGAAATTACACAAGAGCAGGGATTTTTTATCTTTTTTTTACTATTGTATTCCTAGTACTTAGAACTGTATTTGGCAAATTTATAGGCACTTAAAAAACGTTTATGGAACGGATGAATGGATCTCTTCTTTTTCTGAAAAGGTATTCATTTAGACCATACTAGAAAATGAATGAATTCCAATATTAGTAATTTTACAGATGAGTAATTAATATTGAATCTTTTGTAATGCATGCACACTCATTTATAGATATGCATTGTATCCAATGAAAAAAACTACTTAAAAATATAAATACAACATGGGATAATTCCTTGCTTTGCCTATTTAAATAATTTGTGAGCACTTACTGAGTATTTGCTCCTTAGGCCAGAGCTGCTCATTCTTACCTGAGAAAAATTCACTTTTATCAAAAATATACTAAAATATTTGCTTGTTACAATATTTTAAGTAGGAATTATATTAACAACTCGAAGAAGTATAATTATATCCATCAATATATACTTACTTGTGCAGATTTAGTAGTTGTTTTAGAAGTCCTTAGAGTTTTCTTATTATAAGCTTTGCCATTCATTTTGATTTTAGAAATAGCAGATCCCCCACTTTTTGCTTTAGAGTCTCGAGTAATTATTGTTAGTTCAGGAAAACTTTCCAAAGCATTCTTTAAAATAAAGCAAAAATAATTGACATCAGAAGAAAACTAATCTATACTATTCCCAGCTATTCAAATTTTACTTAAAAAAAATAGAAATAAAGCTTGAGAGGGGGGAGGGGGCTGGGCGTAGGTGGAAAAAGGGGAGAAAGTGGGGACAACACTAATAGTGTAAACAAAAAAAGGAAACAAAAACAAAAAACGAATGTATACATACATGGAATGTGGAGGGCACTAATGGGGTGTGGTCAATGTAAATGTATACAATATACAAAATACACACAAGTGGGGTGTTAAACATGGCCAAATTCTTTGTAGCTCCTCCCATCAAGATGGGACTCTAACTAGGCATATTGTGATCATTTTGTAATACATACAAATATTGAATCATTGTTATGTGTCTGAAACTAATATAATGTTTTATGTAATTACACCTCAATGAAAAAATGTGGAATCTATTTCTTTATCCTTTGACTCTAGGGTCAACCTTGTAACATGCCTTAAGCAATAGCACATGACCCTGGGAACTCCTGAATGAGACAGAAGTTCTTTGCAATAAAGCCTTTCTGGCTTCAAGGTAGGGCGAAGGGACCTATACAGATGCTTTTAACTTGTGATGGGGTTATGTTCTGACAAACCCATGCTAAGCTGAAAATATTGTTGAGTTGAAAATGCATTTACTACTACAATACAGAGCATTGTTGTTTAACCTCATGATCGTAAGTTTGACTGGGAGCTGTGGCTCCCTGCATAATGTAGCCCAAGAAAAGATCAAAATTTAAAATAAGTAGTTTCTACTAAATTCATATTGCTTTTACACCGTCTTAAAATCAAGAAATTAAGTTGAACCACTGTAAATCTATTTAAGTTTCTTCAAAACCCTATCAAGTGAACCATTGTCAATGCTTTGAAACTCGGCCAAGTCCTGGATCAGTTGAGAACAGAGGGAAACAAGCATTTTGATGTTCCTCTGGCTTCACCACATCTCTTGTTTCTTTTGACTATAGGAAGAGCAGGTGTGAAATGAGTGTAAAACAGAGTTTGATGAGTATTCTGACCAGTGATACAGTAGTTCCCACTGATAATTTAGTAGCCAAATGGTAGAACCAGTTCCAGCCCATTCTTTAAAAGCCACTGGCATATTTATGCCCTTACGTACTAGGCAAATCATACTGAATGAAAAGCTACAAACTATAACTGAATGGAAGTTGTAGCTAAACTTACCTAGTTTGAATAGCATTAAAAATTGAGCTACTAGTATCATTTACTGAATATTTGATACTAAAAGGGTTCAAGTGCTCCTGTGATATTTATCCCCCCCTTATGTTTATTATACAGAATGTAGTTTTCATTTGATAAGCTCTTTTCCGAACCCCATATGAGGTTCTAAGCAGCTGGTATTGCGACCCCAGCAACAGTGCATTTTAAAACAGATAACCTAATGTTTTTAGATACAAGTGTAGGAGGGAACTAAATTTCATTTAATAGACACAATAAAAATTTTGGCATTTCCTACCAGAGTGAGCTATCATTAATTTCTAGCTTCATTCTCTTAGATTATTTGTGCTTTTAAAAATATATTCTGGTGTTTTCCATATAAAACATTGCCGAGGTTTGACTTACTTTTTACAACAAATGGAATTTAAAGACAAAAAGAAAAGGTTTCTACACTAGGTCAGTGGAGATGAAAGAAAATATAAATAATCTTTCTAATACACATAAGATGTTAAAGATGATTGGAAGTACATAAGTTTCAGAGGAAAATATATCATTAACTTCAAATGGCTTTTAGGATTCCTAAAATTACCAGGATCATCATGGGGAGTGGTACTGAAAACAACCCACGGTTCGTAATATTTTACATCAAATCATTCTAACTTTTAGTACTGTGTGTGTATTGTAGCTTTGAAATGCAAATTGATATAAATGGAAATTATCAAAATTAACTAATTTCAAAATTAGAAAGTGTTTTTTTCTGTGAAAATAAGAACATGAAAACTAATTTTTCACTTGCTCATCATAAGCTATTGCATAAGCTTTAAATATCTACTGAATCTATTAAATTCCAAGTGTTGGCTTTATTGTAATACAGGTTATTAGAGAACTGGTTTGACATTTTAAAAAGTTAGCCAAAACTGGTCAGTATGAAGATTTACTTAATCTTTAGATAACACACATCTAGTAACATTCTCTTGTCTCTAGAAAGCATGGTATTTCCCAAAGGAATATTTCATTTGAAGACAGCAGTGAAGTGGAAAATACTTGACTAGGAGTTAGTAGACGAATTCTTAGTAATGGCTTTCTTATCAGCTTTTTTTTTTCTCTCTGCAAGTGCTTGTCAGTGAAGAATATAGGATTACTAGGAGAGTTTAGTGTTGATTCACTTTGAACTCAGTCTCTAAGCCTTAAGTTTCATCTAGCTAAAATGAAGTAAATTTTCACTTTTATGTGGGGTTCAGATAAAATAGGGATGTGAAAGAGCTATACACATTACCCAAAGGAGTTGAAACTTAAGTCCACACAAAATCCTGCACATGGGCATATATAGCAGCTTTATTGACAATTGCCAGGATGAGGAAGCAACCAAGATGTCCTTCAGTAGGTGAATAAACTGGTACATTCAGGCAATGGAATATTATTCAGTGCTACAAAGAAATGAGCTATCAATCTATTAAAAGACATGGCAGTACCTTAAGTGCATATTACTAAGTGAAAGCAGCCAATCTTAAAAGGCTACATACTGTATGGTTTCAACTATGTGACATTCTGGAAAAGGTAAAACAATGGAGACAGTGAAAAGATCACTGGCTGCCAGAGGTCAGGAGAAAGAGATAAACAGAGCACAGAGGACTTTTAGGGCAGTGAAACTACTCTATGAAATACTGTAATAGTGGATATATGTCTTATACATTTGTCCAAACCCATAAAGTGTACAAGACTGTAATATAAACTGTGGACTTTGGGTTCGGTGTAGGTTCACTGGTACTGAGAAATGTATCATTCTGGTGGGAGATGGTAATTGGGGAGATTGTTCATATGTGGGGACAGGCAGGCAGCATATGGGAACTCAATTTTGCTGTGAATCTATAACTTCTCTAAAAAAATAAACGCTATTAATAAAAAGAAAACCTATACAAATAATACATTAACAGACACAATTATATATATCTCCTACCATTATTTGAGGATTAATTTTTCCTCAGATACTGATTGGGTAAATCAGGCAAGTAAAAGGAATTTTGATAACTGTGCTAAGGGACCAATTCTAGTTATAGATGAAATGTGAAAAATTTTTAAAAGTTTAAAAGTAAAAAAGACTGAAATACAGTCGTGGTTTAAAGAAAGTATTTTTGAAAACATTGGAGACTTACTATATAGAAGCAATGCTACATGATTATAAAAGCCTGAAAAATGAATTAAAGCAGAGAAAAGCAAAGATTAAGAATGTGCTTAATAAAAAAGACAAGCTAAGAAAACTCATAATGAATACAAATCAAATTTTTATTGGTTAAGAAATATTATTAAATGGAGAACTTTCATAAGTTTTCCTTCACATTATATTAAGTCTGTGATTGCCACTGAGTGTACGAATAAATCATCTGAAGAAAATACCTTGAATGACTGATCCAAATGAAGATTCAAAAGAAGTCTCTTTCGGTTATCATTCAGCATGCTATCTATTTTTTTCATATGAGGCAAAAGTAGCTCATCTAAAACAAGATAAAAATTTATTATAACAGGATAAATTATCAATTCAAAAACTTGTTAACATCCAAATTTTCTCAAAACATTAATCTATTAAGACATTAAATTCATTAGATTATATAAAGTACCGCTTTAACAAAAATAGGGCATGAACTTTTTAGAACAAAAGCTACCTTGAAAAATAGATTTACACCAGCCAAGTGAGAAAGAAGTGGCATGGTATGACAGAATCTAAAGTCCTAGGTTTTAACATTGTCTCTCCCAACAAAATTGGTTGATGACAAGCTAATTTCTGTTGACCTCATACACCACCTGAACAATAATTCATTACAACCATTACAAGTATTATAAATTTACCTAATGTTATAAAATTTTATAAAATACTACATATGATATTCTTAAATCACTAGTTTGTGGCAAAGAAAACAGTAGGGGAAGAAAAATGATCAAAATCCAGTTTCAAGAACACAAGAGTCAACATAGTTATTTTAGAGAAGGAGAGAGTAAAAGTAAAACTCTGACCCAAAACTTTTTGCCTTTTTTTTTTTTTTTTACCCCTTTGAAACTTTAAGGTCTTTTAAGGGAAGCACCTTGGAGTGTAAGTTAATTACTTCTGGTGCTGTAGTAAATGTTTTAGGTTACTAAACAATTTTTAAATGACATGTTTTATAACACTAATTACCTTTAATGACTTTTCTTAAAAGGTATATATATATGCCTCAGGATGTAGTTACTCTCAGAGCTGAAGAAAACCACTCTTTATATATTTGGAATACAAACACAAGCACAGTAACCAGTGAAAGAACACTTCCTCTAATTGAAGAAAAAGTCTTTAGTGAAGAACACTTTCTATGGGAACACTGTAACACACCTGATAGTTGTCTTTTATCTTTCTGGTAATCATCAATTCTGTTCAAACACTGTAAGAATTACATTTCACAAAAACAAGTTTCAAACATTTGTGGATTATTTTAAATTATAACCATTAAAATGCTTCCCCTTTATATTAAATGGAGAAAAATCAGAAAACAATAAGGGAAAAAATCATTTAAAACACAACTATCCAGAAACAACCACTGCTACGAGATGTATTTTATGATGCAAGGAGTTTTGACTGAGAGAGAAAATATTTAATGGCAAAAATAACCTGGGAATTAACTATTGGGTTTTAGTCATGGTTCATCTACCACTAACTTGTTCTATAACTTTAGAAAATATTTAATCTCTTTCAACTTTAGTCTAACAAAATAAATATTGTAGACTAGATGATCTTTAAATCTCTTCCAGCTCTACAAGGCTCTAAAATGATTGAGGTATAGATTATTGCCTCTGACTATATGGTCAAAAAAGCAATGGACCAGAAATTAGAAGACCTTGGATTTTAATCCTTTCTCTGTTACTTGCAAGTTGTGGGCCCTTTGCCAAGTCACTTAACCTACATGCCTGTCTTCATCCACCAAAATGGACGTCCAAGTTGTTCTGGGACTATAATGGAATATCATGTCAAAGTATGTGGAAATAATAAAACAGTTTATATTATTAGGCATTGGTGTTGAAATATATTGTTACTATGCTTTGATCTTACACCAGTTCAATTCATTTTGATGTAAGGATAATGAAAACTGGCTCACTGGTCTTTTCATTCCTTCTTTTAGTGTAGCTGAAGGCTAAATATTAGTAAGCAACATTAGCTGTGTGAATGACCAGTTTATTTCATATATCAATTTGTGGAAGAAAGGAGGCCACGTTCTCAACCAAGTTTGGAGGAGGCCTGCATGGCAGCCTTTCAAACTCAGAGACCTAAAGTAACCACACAGGTCTGAAATTAAAACTTGCTTTTAAAAGGAGTTCATGGCCGGTATTTTTCCCTAACAAAGGTCAGTCTTTACCTTGATTGAGCCTGTCTGCTCTCTTTTGCATCTATGAGAACATACCTTTGGAATGTCAAATTTCTTTTTCGGAACCCTCAAAGCAGGAGCTTAGCACCACGGGAAGACCCCAAATCCCCTCATTGTTATTGTTATCATGTTAATTGTTGACTATTATCTGTTCTGTACCCACCTGTTGTGTTTCACTACTTTTTATCCAATCCCAGAATCCCTCCTTTGCTTCCTCCCGCCTCCCTAATCTGTCCCAATGGATTTCACATAACCCACTTGAAGCTGCCTCTTTCTATCGTAATATATAAACTAAACTGCTAAACTGCCATTCTCTGTAGGATTATCTCAACTTTTTGAGGTTTTGCTTCCCAGGAATTGTTGTCAGTTTGGCTCAGGTAAACTAACCAAAAATTCTCTTCAGGCTTGAATGTTTCTTTGATAGGCATTTACTTGGTGTAGTCGGCAGGATTCCAAAGAAGCCCACTCAGGATCACCTTGCAGACCCACACTCTTGCTAGATACCAGCAGAGGCCCACTGTGCCTCACCAGCTCCTCGTTTTGCCAAGAGTGAACTTGGGTGAGTTTCCATTGGAATTCCAGACTTCCCTGTTTTAAGGTGTGAGGGCCTCACTCTATGTGAGCTGTCTTTTTAAATATGCCAGGTGCAACTAATATTAAGGGTTGACAGAACCCAGGTTGAGGTGGGACTGGGGGAAAAATGGGTGGCTGGTTTTACTTTGGGTTTTCAATTGGAATTGTTTTCTGAGAGTCTGAAGTGCAAACTCTACAGATTTCAAAATAAAACTAAAATTAAGATGGGAAATTGTGTCTCCAAGGTCAGAAAATCCCAGATGCCAGCTCTCATTAATATTCCTGGTAGGAAGCCTTGATGGGCAAGTGCATTACAGAAATGCGATGATTTAACGATTAGAAATTATATCAACTTAAGATGGCCAAAAAGCAGTTTTCTTTTGCAGTTGTCTTAATTTTTTGCATGCAAAATTAGAAAAATCCTGGCTCTAAAATTAAACTGAATGAATGGGAAACATATCTTGATTTGGAAAGTGGAATCTTCTGGAGGAAGCACAGATAAACTCTTTTTAAAAAGTTAAGAAATTTTAGAGACTGTCTCAGAGCTAAAGGCGGCTTCTGAGGCTAATAAATGCCACCTCCTTATTCCTCCCCTCGAAGATTGATACCAAAGCCTGTCTTTGAAAGGCAAATACTTGGCTCCAAGAACTCTTCTCTGGATCATCTCTTAAAATGCAAATTTTTTGAAAGGTAAATCTTATCAAAAGGGTTGGGGAAAATACCTTGGCCATATCTGATAAAATCAATTTATTTAAGTTATTCCTTTCTATATTAGTGAATTCTGATTAAAGTTATTGGATATACAGATATTTTTACGATGCTAAGACACTGATTGCTAGACAAGTCCCGGGGTCACCTTCTTTTGGCTTTTGTTGCAAAGAGGCTGTGGAGTGGATCTGAAGCTCTTGATTCAGTGTCTTGTTAATAAATGTCTTTGTTAGGGGTGTGTTTCTTGAAAGTGAACTTATTCGCCAATAGAGGAACCTATGTTTCTAATAGGTTTTGTGTTCATAAAAGTCAACCTAGGGAATACTGGCTGCTTATTTTTGGTTATAATTGGAAACTGGGGTTTCTAAAAGTTAACAATTCAAATTATGTTGGAAAGAAACTCTATGGTGTTGATAATAGAAGGCATAAGATGGAAATATTCATCCCGGAAAAGGAATAAAGTGAGTTCTAAAGATGCCTATTTCTGAATGGATAAGGTTTATAAAAATACGAAAGTTTTGAAAGTGTTATAGAAGATTGTGAAATTTTAGAAATCTGAGGAAGTAATGCAGATTGTGTGTATGGTCTTGATGTACTATATGTTCATCTGTATGTCTACTGCTCTTCTTTCCTGCCTCTGGGTGACATTACTAGGGTATAATGTTTTCCTGGCCTAAAGAAATTATGGTAAATACTTATGTAAATTAAGCAGGATCCTGTGGTCTGGACAAAATATTGAATATTAAAACCAGTGTAAGTTTGATTGGTGTGTTTTAGAGTTATTACCATAAAATGCATTTGTTTTACCTGGAATTACAAAAAGGTTTGTTTTTGTCTTTTGGTTAAGTGTATTTGACAAATCTTCCCAAAGTTTAAATTTTAAGATATTTTTAACTAAGAAATAACTTTGAGTCATTCCAACAGGCCCTATACTATCTCAAGGATTTCTTCTCTCTCTATAAAGGAAAACTTTTTTGAGATGCTTGAAATTACTTGGGAAGCTTTGCCCAAATAATTACAACAACAACTATGTTCTGTTTGTATACTTGTTTGCTTTTCACCTGGGAAAGTTACAAATTTACTTGACAATAATGCCCCAGGCATATACAGGACTTTTATTGTCTTAAATAATGTTAAGTTTTCTAGAAATTCCACTCTAATCCAATATGTGAATGATTTAACTTATGGTCTAGGAAATTGCTAGATGCCCATAAGGATGACCTCTGATTCTGTTTGCCTGAGGCAAAATACTTTGGTTATCTAATATCTAAAGAGAGCCTAATTAACCCTGAAAGCCTCAGATGAATCCTATCTTTTCCTCTTCTGAAAACAAGAAAACAGCTTAGGGGATTCGTTGGTTTTGACTAGATATTGTCACAGTTGGATTCCAAATTTTCATTAATGGTCTAGCCCCTATATTTTTTACTAAAGTCAAACTGACCTGACCACCTTCTTGTTCCTAGAAATTGTTTATAGGAAGCTCCTTAGTAATGCTGATTTAATTTGGTTTACAGATGGATCTTTGAAAAAATAAACAGGAATGTTACTGAGCTGGATATACAATAACTTGCATGATAGGCGTAACAAAATTCTTATTTACCTAAATAAAATCTGCCCAATAAGCCTAATTAATTTTTTCAATTGGCCAAAGATCAAATAGCCAATATTACACTGACCATGGCTATGTAGCTCACAACGTGAAAATACTGTTAAAGCAGTGTGGCTTCTTAATTTTCTCAGGGCAGCCCATAAAGAATGGAAAATAGGTTGCAAAATTATTAGATGTTACACAGAAGTTAACACCATTGGCAATTATCAAAATTTCA